CTCTTCTCTCTCTCTCTTCTTCTTTTTCTCTCTCACTCCTCTCTTCTCTCTCTCTCTCTCTCTCTCTCTCTCTCTCCTTCTCTCTCACTCTCTCTCGCTCTCTCTCTCTCTCGCTCGCTCTCATCTCGCTCTCTCTCCGTACAGACGCCTACGTGAAGCTGTCGCTCGTGCACGACGAGAAGGTCGTCAAGACGAAGCGGACGAGCGTGCAGCGCGCCACCATCGACCCCGTCTTCAACGAGACGCTTAACTTCAACGTGATGCCGCCGGCGCTGCCCGACGTCAGTCTCGTCGTCTCGATCGCCGACCGCACGAGCGACGCACTCATCGGACGCATCGTGCTCGGCAAGCACGCTACGGGGCCGCCCGAGATGACGCACTGGGGTCGCATGCTGCACTCGTACCGCACGTCGGTCGCGCAGTGGCACTCGCTGCGCACCAAGGACGAGTGCGATCGCCTGAGCGCCGCCTCGTTGGCCGTCAGCCGCCCATAAAGCTCAGCGTGCGAGGTCAGCCAGTAAAGGGTCAACCTATAAGGGTCAACCTGTAGCGTAAGCTTGTAAGGGTCAACTTGTAAGGTCAACCTGTAAGGGTCAACCTGTAAAGATCAACCTGTAAGGTTTACATGGAAGGGTCAGTCTGCAGGGTCAACTTGTAACGTCACCTTGTAAGGGTAAACCTGTAAGGTAAGCCTGAAAAGTTAACCCGTAAGGGCCAGTCTGTAGGGTCAACCCATAATGTCAGCTTGTGACAGCCAGCCTGTAAGGTAAAGCTGTAAAGTTAACCTGTAAGGGTCAGTCTGTCAACATATACTATCAGCGTGTAAGGGTCAACCTCAATTTGTAAGGTCAACATGAAAGAGTACGAAAGTGTCAGTGAGTAAGGGTCAGTCTGTAAGGTCATCCTGCAAGATAAACTTGCAAGGGTTAGTCTGTAAGGATCACTCTGTAATGTTAGCTTGTAATTAAGGCCTGGCCTGTAAAGTTACGCTGTAAGGGTGAGTTTGTAATTGTCAACCGCATGTGCGTTGGGTGACATTCTCCTTGCGAGCTAGAGAAAGCGATACAGAAAAAAGGGAGGAGCGAGTGAGCGAGAGAGAGAGAGAGAGAGAGAGAGAGAGAGAGAGAGAGAGAGAGAGAGAGAGAGAGAGAG